TCCCCCACAAAATTCATATGTTGAAATCTTAACCCCCAAGGTGATGGCATTAAGAGGTGGGACCTTTGGGGAAGTGATTAAATCATTATGGCTTTATCCTCATAAATGGAAATAGTGCTCTTATAAAAGAGATTGAAAAGTATGTGTTTGCACCTTCCACCATGTGAGGACACCATGAGAAGATACTAGCTATGAAGCAGAGAATTCTCATTAGACTCCAAATCCACTGGCACCTTGAACTTGGACTTCCCGTCCTCCAGAATTGCAAGAAATAAATTTCTGTTGTTTGTAAATTACCCAGTCTAAAGTATATTGTTATAGCAGCCAAATGGGCTAAAACAGTTTATTTTATTCTTTGTTTTTTTCCTTCTTTATCTTGTGCATAATTTTTGTTGGAGGAGGGAGGCTGGAGCACACACCACAGCACATGATGGGATGTGTAGCAAAGTAAAAGAGGTGGCTCCCACTCAGCTTCAGTTAATCACTGTCAGGAGGAACCGCCAGATTTCCAATAGTTCAAGGAAAGTTGAGCTTTCATAATATTTTAAGAGACTTCTCTGTATTTAATATTGGAAACTAATTTATAGATTCCAACATGTATAGATATTTATAAAATTTGTATAAACAGTAAGCATTAGAGGAATGCAAATCAAAACCATTATGAGATATCTCCTGACACCCATTAGAATAGCTGGCATAAAACCAAACCAAACCAAACCGGATAATATCAAACATTGATGAAGCTATGGAGAAATTGGAAACTTTGTGCATTGCTGGTGGGAAGGTAAAATGGTGCACTCACTATGAAAAATGGTATGGCAATTCCTCAAAAATTTAAACACAGAATTACTGTATAATCCCACAATTCCACTTCTAAGTAGAAACACAAAAGAATGGAACAGGTATGGGACTCTAACAGATATTTGCACACCAATGTTCATAGCAGCATTATTCACAATAGCCAAAATGTGGAAGCAACCCAAGTGTCCATTAATGGATAAATGGATAAACAAAATGTAGTATATACATCAAATAAAATATTATTCAGCCTTAAAATAGAAGGAAGTTTTAACAAATGCTTCAGCATGGATTACCTAGAGGACATTATGCTAAGTGAAATAAGCCAGACACAACAGGACAAATTTTG